AGACCACAAAGTGATTGGCAGGGGAGGTAGTCTCCAGCGAGATTCTGCACGATAGCAAGTCAGTAACTTTCAAATCATGGGTGCAGATCACATTCGAAATGGAAAGAATGCTTATGAAACATGCACTTTTTACCTATTTATCTCATATTTATAGTCTTAATTTCTGGAAATTAAACAAATAACAATCGATACTCTGAATTATCATGAAAACACCTGCTCTTCAAATATCACGTTTAAAGGCCCTCTTTTCTGTTTTAAATGTATGTTGAGACTAGCACATTTTGAAAGATGAGTTTTGTTTTCGCTTTGCTTTACGGTTTCCCAATTTACTACTGTACAATTTCACTACATGCCATCTATAAAGGGGACTTGTGGTGGTTATAAAGCGTTCCTGTATATGGCTGATAGTGCACAATTTAGGAGACCAGACAGTCACATGAGACTACATATGAGTAACATTCTGATGATTTGAGGCGGCATATCGTCATCACCTGAGGCTGGCGTTGGCCACGGCAGAAAGAGCGTTTGTGTCAGGGTTTTCTGACGGCATAACACCGGATTCGCTAGTCGTGGCCAACGCCAACCTCAAGAGATGACGACATGCCGCCTCAAATCCCTAATTAAAGTGATGGGTACTCTGTGTACTCAATCCAAGCACATCACTCAAAGACTCTCTTACCCCCTCCCATAGCTCTAAGGACCAACACCCGCCGACCTGGTTATGCTTACGGCGTGAGGAAAATGAGTGTTAATGACTTAATAGCCCTTGGGGCACCTATAAACACTGTTGATTTTTTACGTTTTCATTCCTTCATATAACTGTATTCGCCTGACGAAGAATTACCGAAAACATGTGTTTGTCAACTTTACTTTCCAAGCTTAACAAATATTTGCCAGTTTGTTTTGCAGTCAGTTTACGTCAATTTGAGAAGCGTATTGATACGCGTACCTGGATACTTATTATCGGAGTCGAAGTGCTCTCCTGTGCCTCCGCCGCTTCCCCAATTGCTGGGTCCTAGAAAAAAGTACCAATAGTAATTTAGCCAAAAATCGGTAAAATACAAAAAGACAGTAGATCAAATAATATGTTTCCGCACATGCCGGAATTAGGAGGATGTGTAGAGAACGAAAAAAGCTTCCAATCGACCTTATGGAATACACAGCATTTCTCAGCCTCACCGCGACTCTCCAAACGCACGCAGAACTTGGTTGATATGGCTTCTTGCGGACGAAGAAATCAACATTCTAACCAAGAGATTTTCCACCTGAGCTGCAGGAACCATCAGTGTCTGTGTATGTCGTACTACTAGCTTTTTTTCTTGAACTGAAAAAAACAGCCTGAGATATCGGAACATTTGATCAAGTTGCAAAGGCAACCAACACAACATGCTGAGGACATAACTGAGTTTGACGTTCTGGAACAAAAGACGACGAGGCGACGCACGATGTCCCACTTCGTGCTAGGCCAGCACAAACGGACTATGCCAACTGTTTTGTTACGGTTATTGTTTCGCCTGTCAAGTAAGCATAAAAAGTCAGAAACTTAACTTTACGCCACAATGTTTCGAGAGACCCTGTTTTACCTCAGGAAATTAAAATTTAACCAAGCAGTGTTCCACGCTAATAAGGGGAGGAAGATAAAGATGCACAAGAAGTGTACTGAATAGTAGTCTGCGGGTTTTGGGAACATGAGTTCTCGGCTGGGGAATTCGGTCGTCGATCATCAGAAAATGTAAGATGATGTGAGCGACTCACGATATAGAATTTACGGCAGCATGATGTTATACAAGTCGTCAGTGATTGTCAGTGTTCGTTAACGTTTATCATTATAGTCGCACCAACTAGATACATTTAATTCGCCTGTTGTCCTACACATTCTCCCTCACGGAATTGGAGATTACTATATACAGTGAGTGGCCGATCTCATGAAATGTTGGCTGAAATTCTGAAATGCGTTTTCGATAAGGAAGGATTACTTGGTCGCGGTTGTAATACTGATTATCTTGCGGCATACTCTTATATTATTTCGGACTCGGCAGGATGTCGGCTTTTAATGGACTTCTTTTCAATCTCCTGTAGAAAGCGTGGTCGGTAAAAAGTGACTACTTCAGTAGCACGCATTTTTCCCATTGATTTTCGGTGGTCTTGGAAATTCAAATATATTTTATAGAAACCATAAACAAACATACGCTTTATTTTAGTCAATCAATAGAGAATCACGTCTTCTTTATATTTTATAGATAAGAAAGGAGTATAATTAGGTTTTAAAAAAGTTTTCCAATTGCCGAATAATTTGGAGCCTGATCATTCGTTGCATTAGCGCTTAATGAGTTAGCTCTACAAGGTGCATGCATTCCGCGTAAATAAAATCCCATATTTTTCTCTGCCATTAAAGAGATATCATACAGAGTCCATAAAATTTTGCAGTGGATGCGCACCATGTTGTACATTTCATGAGGAGTAGTGGTAAACGGCCAGGTACAATGCTTTTGAATGGACATTTCGAGGTCTTAAAAAGTCTCATAATTAGACACTTTTTTAAAACTTACTTATACTCCCTTCTTCGGTATAAAATATAAAGAAGACGTGATTCACCATTGATTGAGTAGAAAAAAGCATATTTTTGTTTATGGTTTTTATAAAATATATTTGAATTTCCAAGAACATCGAAAATCAATGGGAAAAATGCATGCTACTTAAGTAGTCACTTTTTACCAAGCACACCTTCTACAGGAGATTAAAAAGAAGTCCATTAAAAGCCGACATCCTGCCGAGTCCGAAATGTTATAAGAGTATGCCGCAAGATAATCAGTATTACAACCGCGACCAAGTAATCCTTCCTGATCGAAAACGCATTTCAGAATTTCAGCCGACATTTTATGAGATCGGTCACTCACTGTATATATATGACCTTAGTTCTAAAGTAGTCATCTGTGCAGGTGTGAAACAGGATCATACAGGTGACAGGCTGACTGTCACAAAGACCGACTATGTTGAAATCTTATACAGTGCATGACTTATCCCATGAAACCTGATTGCAGAAACTGACATGGGAATTTCTGAACGCTTGGAACGTTGTGCATTTTGCTCGCTCATCCTAGTTATCTTGTCTCCTTTTTCCCGACTGCTTCCTGGGACTCGTCTCTTCGCTTTCATGAAAAATGTTCTCTTCTTGCGCAAAAAATGTTCCCACGTAACTTTACCCGGCGGAATGTTCACAGATTTAAGCTAAGATGGGCGTCGCGATATATTCGGCCAATTTCCTACGCTAATACTTATCCTAAACTTCGGTTGCTCATCCGAGCATGTTTTTCTTTGAGATGAGAATAATTTGCTTTTGAGAGTTTTACCAAACAGAGCTTACCGCACCTGAAAATCGATTTTTTGTCCGATACTAACTGTGTGAATCAGTTTGTTAGCACATAGGCTTTTTGGATAACCAGACGTCGTTTAGATTTTTATAAATTAGATTGGCAGATCTGTACGATTGCGTGCCCTAAAGTGCAGTAAAAACACACGCAGACAATTATTAGTTTAAATGGGCCGAAATCGCTCAGCCGTTTGGAAAATTATGTGAGTTTTCATAGAGCTGACCACCACCGAGTAGTTATTTTCAGTTTTGAACATACAGTGCGTGACCTATCTCATGAAATGATGGCTGAAATTCTGAAATGCGCTTTCGATCAGGAAGGATTACTTGGTCGCGGTTATGATACTGATTATCTCAAGGCATACTCTTATAACATTTTAGAATTGGCAGGATGTCGGCTTTAAAATGCGCTTCTTTTCAATCTCCTGTAGAAAGCGTGCTCGGTAAAAAATAGCTACTTAATTAGCATGCATTTTTCCAAATGATTTTCGATGGTCTTGGAAATTCAAATATATTTCATAGAAACCACAAACAAAAATATGCTTTCCTTTAGTCAATCAATAGAGAATCACGTCTTTTTTATATTTTATACTTAAGGAAGTAGTATAATTAGGTTTTAAAAAAGGTTCTAATTATGAGACTTTTTAAGACCGCGAAATATCCATTCAAATAGCATCGTACCCGTCCGTTTACCACTGCTCCTCATGAAATGTACAACATGGTCCGCATCCATTGCAAAATTTTATGGACTCTGTATAATATCTCTTTAATGACATAGAAAAAATATGGGATTTTCTTTACGCGGAACGCATGCACCTTGTAGAGTGTAATCACTAAGCGCTAATGCAACGAATGATCAGGCTCCAACTTATTCGGCAATTAGAAAACTTTTTTTAAAACCGAATTATACTCCCTCCTTAAGTATAAAATATAAAGAAGACGTGATTCTCTATTGATTGACTAAAAGAAGGCATATTTTTGTTTGTGGTTTCTATGAAATATATTTGAATTTCCAAGACCATCGAAAATCAATGGGAAAAATGCATGCTAATTAAGTAGTTATTTTTTTACCGAGCACGCTTTCTACAGGAGATTGAAAAGAAGTTCATTTTAAAGCTGAAATCCTGCTAAGTCTAAAATGTTATAAGAGTAGGCCTTGAGATAATCAGTATCACTACCGCGACCAAGTAGTCCTTCCTAATCGAAAGCGCATTTCAGAATTTCAGCCAACAGTTCATGAGATAGGTCACGCACTGCACAGGACACTACCTTTCGCGCCGTCTAGCTTCTGCGCATACGTGAGTTAGGAATGGAGCGCACAAAAAACTAACAGTTTCAGCAAAATATCGATATTTATATAGACATTTTGACATTAATGCATAATCGACGAATGCAGCCTAAAAGTGAGCAAAGATAGCGAAAATGGACGCAATGTAAAGAAAAAGGCATGTTCATACGTTTGCGGCAGAGAAATATCAGAATGTCTAGTAACGTGAATGAAACAGTCAAAAATGCCATTTTTCTTTCTTGACCCCCCCGCGCAAAAATGCAAAGTACACAGAGATCCGTCAACAGAGTGCAGTATGAAAGCACTCCTTAAACGGATAACTTATAAGGGAAAATTTTTTAATTAATTGAAATCATATTCGCTGCTGACTTTTGTTGTGGACATTCATTTTATTCCACGATGAGGTTTCCTGTTTTATCGAGTCTTCATATGTGACCCCATCGACTTTCTACACGTAATAAAACGCGCAAACACTCGCTACTTCGGCAAATGCCGTCAAGAAGTCTCTTATTTTAATGTCATAACTATTCCACGACATATTTCCCTTATCGCAGCCATTGGGGGTGGAGAAGGTCAGCACTTATCTCTTCTTTCACTCTCAGTGTGCATAAGTTATAGGACGAGAATAAAATGGGTGAATACGAACAAATACAGCCGAGCGATCACACTCGATGCGGAGGCTCAAATGCAAACCAGTGCGTACCACAGCGCTCAGCATCCTAACCCTACCGCGTTTGCGTGGTTATTATGGTAAATTTTGTTCAGCAGATCAATTTTCTTTCGAGCACATGCGCCCGAGATGTGCGTGGGAGGAGAAAAGTGACGTAACATGATCCATGTCTCCTACGTAACTCAAGTGAAGTGATTTAAATTGAGCGATCGGTTGTTGCTAAACGAACATTAGAATTACGTCACTCGAAAAATCAGTTTGATAGGAAAAGGCACTGTTCTTTTAAACGGGTAAAACAACGGATAACTACAACATGGCCGTCTGGTGGACAGTAAAATAAAACAGCACGCGTTATCGGCAGTCCAAGGTTTTTAGTTGAGTCCTAGCTTTTCTCAGCACTGCAACAACTCGTTCAAGCAAGGTCATGTCACACAGAAAGCATTGTTCATGACTGCTTTGGGTGTGGTCTATCGGGTAGCAAAAAAGTGTATACTAACATTTCAAGAAGGTTAAGGGAATCAAAAGTGTGTTGATTGCTAGTCCTAAAAAATCTGTTTATTTTGTCGCTTCTGCATACGGGTTTGTTTTGACTGTATTATCCGTGCAGCCAAGCGGAAACGAAAGAAAGCTCCCGACTAGATATTGTAGATTTTAATGAATAGATTTCCCCGAGGCGGTTGATGATCGTATTAGTTAAAGTTCAAAATTAACCCTTCTTGTTTAGAGTTTTATGATAAACCTCAACTTAGGTACAGACTCATCTCCTTCATGTTTACCTTGTCATAATTGCACCTAGACTCCAATCGAAAATGCATCAATTAAATCAAGGATATTAATGAACATGCATCAATGTCAAATGACATCTTCTATGAATGTTATTTCACGTAGAAGTAAAGTACGCGATTGAAGACATGAAAAGATTTATCAAAGGGACTGTTGATAAGTCCCTAGAAATTCTTTTGTCCCCGGATTGAATGAAGCGTGTTAACAACGATGCAGACCGCTCTACAATGCCCCGACGATTGCTGGTCGCCCCATAACAGATAGTGGCACTCAATGACTTTCACAACTCGCTGTCGAGACAGATTGCCTAGGCGCAGTCAGATTAATCCTTTTGCTTCAGAAGTGCTGAACTTCTTTGACACCTGTTGAATTCATTGTCGCCTGGAGAGGCTTAAATCACACACGGCCCACATCTTTTCTAAAAGAAGGATACGCCCACGCAAAGGCAGCTGAGACACCAACAAGGAGGACATACAGGATTCACATGAATGATACAGGCATGGTGACAGCTAATAGCTGAGCGCAGACTTCTCCTTGTGCACCTAACCCGCAGGTTTTTAATACGGGCTGTGCAAGTTGCTAAACAGATATCGAGCTTTAGTAAGTGGATCAGCCACTTCTGGCGTCATGGTTCAAGTACTGCTTTATTCATTAATGTTTATTGCTCTTCATTGCAATAGACACTTTCTCTCTTTGCGAACAAGCAGCTAGTATAGATAAGACTAGGCTTTTGGCAAATAAACATATTGCTACTTCTGTAACATAATTAACAATGGCAAGTACGGTCAGCAAAGTTTTTTGTTCCATCAGGAGTATAAGGCCTTATCTGACCGTTGGTTTTCATTACAAAGACAGTAGCGGTTTGATTACAGTCAGACCTGGTGTCCCAAGGCCGCTAAATCCCTTTGGATTTTTTATTTTATCAGGAAGAATATATAGGTGACTGGTCGTAATATCGAAAATCCATTTAAAATGACGCGGCTTATGAGAAACTTTTACCATATTACCTGTGACTACTCCAGCATGCATAAGGCCATTGTAGCCTAAAATGTAACGGCAATTTGAACAACTGTCAATCAGTTTAGGAAGATACACTGATCTTAGTTTTCAGGAAATGTCGCTTTAAAAGAATAAAGGGAGAAGAAGGGAAAAACCAACAACAAAATCATAAGCATCGTCTAGGTATCGGCCACGTTTTTTCATTGGTTAGGATTTTTTGAAAAGAAAGTAAGATTGTTTTAGGGAAAAAGGCATTTTAACACAAAGAACATATTTTAATGCCCACCGTCACGCAGAGAATAACTTATAAGTCTTAGTTCGGAGACAAGAAGGTAAAAAATAACTTACCACCCCCATATGTTACTAGGAAAGAGAAAATAGGATATAGCCAACGGTAAAATTTTTGAGCATGCAATTTGGATTTATAAATTTACAGTTTACATACTTGTCAATATCCTTTTACTTGTCATACCGTTATAATATTTTTTTAGGAGTCTTTATCGTAAGGCATACTAGTAAAGTGTAGACGCTTGAATTCACGAAATCTTCAGACCCATGTAGTGGCAAACGTCTAAGTTCTCCGAACTTAATCAACATTTGTAAAATAACAGGGATCATATCATTCTAGCAAGTTCGTTATGCTAAGGTATTTGTTGGATTCGTCCTCAGCGTATAGAGGCAAAAGCGCAAAGTTCTGGAATTTGGGAATAGAAAAAAAATTCGCTTACCCTTTGGGGGCATAAAGACTTCGCTGACGAAACCACGGCTCGGATTCGACCTATCACAATCTAGTTTAAATAAGGTTGTGTTAGTGGAGTAAATCTAGTCGGAAGTGGGATAACCAGCAATGCAAATGCCTTTGAATTGTTGTGTACATTAAGACACAGATACGACTCATTTAATTAATGCACGAATTATCTATTTACTCAAAAGATAAAAATCAGAAGTCTCGTGATGCGGATCTAGAATAAAATGCGTAGATTCAGTATTGAAGATAACAAGAAAGTTAATTTACGAAGAAGATTAAGGTAGCACAGTACGTTAACGCACAGGGTGACACTCGACTGCTCTGAGGTGACCCGCCGGGAAATACATAGGGTTGGCTTTGACCTGAATAAGAAAAACACACTCGTAAGTTTTGAGAGGTTAGGAATGCCAAAGCAACTCCCGTGAAAGCGCCATTTAGGTATTGAACTATACGAATAGTAAGCAACCTAACCGCGCCCATCGGCAGATTAAACAGCGAGTACTATATGCCGCCACGAATATCGAATTATTCAAAACGCCTACGCCTCCATAAGGAAAATATCTCAGCGAATATCCCGGAAATGAGATGGAAACATCCCGTATCGGTAGTGTAGTTGCTTTTTCAATTGCAAGTTCCTTCTGTCTGCGGCAAAGCCAATAAAGTTATTTGGCAAGATCTGTCAGTTAAAGAATATGACCTTTTATTAGTTATACCGTTAAAAATATAGCTCTTAAGAATGACCTGGTCAAAGTACATTGATTTGTTCCCAAAGACTAGCAAAATACTTCACTATGAGCCGTCTCAGTCGGTCGAACTTGCTTAGTAGTACTCTGAAGTTTAACCTGCGGTTACTGGAACAGAACGCAGGTCTGCTTTCCTTTCTTCTGCCTCATGACATTCGGGGTGCATCTGCACCGGCTCTACTTTTGGCATACACATACAGCAAAAGTAATCAAAGGAGTAGGAGGAGGACAATGTGCCTTAACGGCGAATGAAGTAGCAATTAACAGTTGCCACTGAGGACACGACCTTTCGTCTAAAAACAATGTATAATTGTTTTGCTGGTAAAATGGTGCTAATTTTAATACTTATGCTCCCTTTTCAAGTGAATATAACAATATCGCATAAAGCAGTTTGCTTCATCCGGTTTAGTGACGACTAATCTAGTAGTTCCATTAACTATCCAAGGTCAACCGATTAAGTATAACATCAGTTTAGTCGTTTTGGAAGTTCACTTGGTCCCCACCGCAGATGGCACTTTCTTGGCTGTTTTTAATAACATTTATCACAAATAAGACGCTTGTGAAGTTCAACTTCGTGTTTTATGAAGGGTCTATTTTCAAATTGTTTTCGTTCACAAACAGGGATTTAGCTGCGCAGAATTTCACTCAGCTATCCTATTTAAGCAGCATGTGAACAGCGCGGATCAACAGAAGGGAAACGACACTGCTACAGTGCATTGTTTAAAACATCTACTAACCTGTATAAAATCTTGCTTCCATTTTGGCCTGAAAACCTGAAAAGATATGAAAGTATGTCCTGACCAATTACATATCGTAGACCAAAACTCTGAGCCCTACAGCGTTTGAGGGATGTAACAGACGACAAATTCTATTTGGGATACTTATCCCCCGCGAAGAATTTCACACTTTACGCAATAACACTAAATATCTTGAACCCTTCCCCTACCTGAACGATTGCGTATTTTGATTGAGACGTAAGACATTTCGAATTGTTATTAGTTACTCAGTAAAAACGCGTACATTCACCGTTATTTAGAGGCCGCATATTCTTTAGAATTACAGAAAGCCAAAAATCGAAGATATGAGAGGGAACAATTTTACGAGACAGCATGATATATATCCGTCAAGACTCTTCAACCACCAAGGAAATTTTGCGCAGGAAATATATTACCGCAGAGGAAAAATAGTTAGGGTTGTTATGAATTCTTTTACAGTTAGTCAACATTTTTCGCAGTTTCTACGTTAACCATCAATAAATATTACAAAGCGTTACAATACCTTGCTTAAGTGCACGTCGAGTCAAACTAATTATCTGTCATGACCAACTATATCTAAGAGCGTTTGAAACGACGTCGCTTAGTACCTCTATTTGAGTAAAAGTCACTTTTTTTCTTTACAGGTTAAACAATTTATATTTTTTCTATTACCATAACGCTATTCGTCTTCGTTGGCGTATTATATTGGCAAAAACCCGGTGAATACCGCTTATTAAAGTACGGAGAAAAAATATGACTTCTTGGTAAACTTTATTGCATTAGTAGTAATTAGCACACAAGTGACTCTCCTTATCTATGTTAAAATAAGCAAAACGTTTACAAGGATTATTTTTACATGACGTACCAGGAGTTAGTAAACGAGGGACAAATTGTCGGAACTTTGAAACGAATTCTCTCTTATTCCTATCTTTAAACTCACGCGAATCTAAATACTGACATTGCGCGTTTGCCTCTGATTGATCTGTGCCTCACCGATGACTGCATCGGTTCTACCCACGCGTCTGACGAATCCAACTGCGATTTGTCACATGATCTTGGGGCTTGAGCTGCAGCCCCTCACTATGTATATTCTCTATTGGAGACTTGATGTCGTATTCGAAATTCCGTGCTCAAAAGTCTTACTTTCGGCCGTAAAATAGGCTAAAATAAATAACTGCGTCTTTTCAAAGTTTCTTTTACTCTGCCTCAGGCTACGTGATGAAAATTGCTTTAAATACACGACACCAATTGTTGATAGACTTCACAGATGTAATTTCATGAGAATAATATGCCTAAGAGGGAGTGGCGTGCAATAACGCCCTCCTCGTAGATCATTGGATCTACTGACAAAATCTCGAGTAATGTCTGATTACGCCATGCTATAAGTAAAAAATTATGACACAAATTGTTAGTGTACATCCGTGAGTAAATCACAGTCGGGAATGATTGTTGAAGTCGTTCCACGAAGTGAAGTCTAAAACTCATGCCTTCAGGTTCAGGTGCTCTACAAAAAAATTCTCGGTTTTATCAGTGCACCCCGCTTCGTAATCATTTCTTTTCAATACTTCGAAGACAAAAATACAAAAGACTGAGGTCACAATGTATTTTATCTTTGTTTCATTTAACTCCTCACTGTGATCTAATCCATGGGCTAAACCCCACATAATTTCTTCATTTCTGCATCAGTGTTGCTGCGATTGTTGCTAGCGCCGGGGGAAAAAATTACGTGTGATAACTGAGCATTCTAATTGGATTGTCTTTCAAAAAAACTGCAGAGAGGAATAATGTGCGGTCATTGGAACACCGGCTGAATTAGCTGGAGCTTTCGGGCTCACAAGTCAGGCTGTGGACAACCTTGCAACTTGCGCAAAATTAGTCAGCGCAGCTGCGTAAGCAGAATTAACAGAAACCTGATTCGTGTTATATGAACTATATGAATACATTCAAATCCTACCTTAAGCCTCTACAGTCTGTTCGGCATTACCATCGTGAGCTTTTCGTTAATACTGGCCCTTTATATTGAAGTTGGGGGACGAATTAGAACGTTTTTGTGGTTAGCTGGCGTATGGTTGACAAATTATTGACACAGATTACGTTAAGATGGAAAAGGTGACACCTAAGGAAAGGATTATAGTGAATAGCATTTGTGTAATCTGCATGAATTGTCTTCGCAATTAAAGTAGCTCATAAATAAGACATCGTACTCGGAGTCATGCTGCCATCCGTTTGATTTTTTGACTTCGACATCTATAAATTCCCGCTGGTCTACCTTAATAAGTGATCTCATAAATTACAGCTCCACAGGATACCTTTAATTAAAGAAAGACTTATGCTCAACTCTACGAGTCCAACAGGACACACGTATATTGCCTGAATGCATTCCTGACCAATCAGGCCGCGTCCTTGCGAATCTACGGGAAGCCGGGAAGTCACAGAGGCAGAAAATGTGGGAATGAATAATGTGCTGGACGCTCTGCTCACGGAGTTATTGCACCTATTGCGCAGATTAATTGATATTCTCATACAACCGACCATCATCTCGCTTTCATTTGAATCTAAACCTATCTTTAGCGCACGCACACACACGCACTTCTCAAATAATGGACTTGTATGTCAAGAGCGAAGGCCGTGAAACTCTGCTTCTTGAATGATTGAAGCCTAGGATTCCCGTTGTTACAATAAAATTCGACGAGTTCTGGATGACTGGTTTGCTGGAGGTTTCAACGTAATATCTAGCAATTAAATCTTTTTGAGTGCATCAACAGCTGGCGGTAATAGTTGCCCATTAGAAACATGAGTCATAAGCATGAATTCTTGGTTGTTTGGGGTGAAGATTTAACGTGACAGTCCAACAGTCGTGACCGTCGGTGTGTGCTCCACAGCAAGGGGAGAGCAGGCATGGTGACATGCGTGGACTAGTTTATAGTGGTAGTAGACTTGCTCAGCATCTACCGCGCTCTCTCCCTATCCCACGCTTGGGCCCGGCTTCGAGACGTAGTCAAAATGACTGGAGACGAGAGAGGCGCAAGTGGCCGGCACGGCCGGACCCCCACCCCCCTGGCCCATAACAAACACTTAGCCGGGCTTTTAACCAACTACAGAAATGCGGGGCGGCAGGGCTACCGATTCTCGCAACGTGGATCGCCAAATGGGCCTGCCACCACACCCCGAATGTTGGCATTTGTTATGGGTGTGCATTCTGCTAACGCTTGCCAGAATCCAATGTGCCACCGGTGTGGGTCAAAGAAATAACGCAAATTTGTGAGAATCATATGATAATGCAGTCATTGAAAATAGAAAGACTTTCATCTCCAGTTAAAAGACTACTAAGTAGTTAACCCGCCAAATGCCGTCTTAAAACAAAAACATAATTGAAAAGTCAAGTTGGCGAACGCACGTCTTCGGTAATTCTTCCTCAGGCCAATGCAATTACATGAACGAAAGAAAATGTAAAAAATCAACAGTGTTTATAGATGCCTCAAGGGCCATTAAGTCACTAACACTCATCATCCCCACGCCGCCCGCATGAGAAGGTCGGCGGGTGTTAGTCGTCAGAACTAGGGGAGGGGGTAAGAGAGCCTTTGAGTAATGTTCTTGGGTTGAGTACACGGAGTACCCATCATCGTGATTAGGGATTTGAGGCGGCATGGCTTCATCGCTTGTGGTTGGCTCTGACGACTAACACCCGCCGACCTTCTCATGCGAGCGGCGTGGGGATGATGAGTGTTAGTGACTTAATAGCCCTTAAGGCATCTATAAACACTGTTGATTTTGTACATTTTCTTTCGATCATGTAATTGTATTGGCCTGAGGAAGAATTACCGAAAACGTGCGTTCGCCAACTTGACTTTTCAATTGTAACATGGGAATATTTGCGGAACTTAGACAATCCAAAAACATAATTGCCAATGCGGCATCATATTTCTAAAAAAGATTTCCTATGCAACTAACAGCAATTATAGCACGCAAAGTATTTTAAGGTTGTCTGTTCGAGGTTGCAATGAGTGTACGAAGGCGTATTTCACCAAATGCGAAACTATTACGAGGCAGCAACAAATCCCTTATTACATCGCCAAAGGCAACTTCAATTCTTAGCTAAGAAAATATGTGGTAACATTCTGATAAAGCTCAGGGATTAATAATTTAAGTTCTGAGAGGTGACATTTAATTTTGGACTTGACAACGAGCAAGTGGTTCGAGTATAAGTAACGTCTTCTAAAGCCTCACAGCTAAAGGCATAAAGGTCAGCTATAACGTTACACGGTGGCTTACCAAATTATGTCTAACTTTCACCGAGCACTCGCTTTTTTATAACAGTCCTATGGGGTGCGCAGCTGTGCTGAATGCTGGCGCATACTGCTTGGACTGAAGCAACTGAATACTTTGGCAAAATTCACATGCTATTTTTACTCACTCTTCCCAGCATATCGAAAGTTATTTTTATGGCGAACACGGGTTTGAGAATAAACCAACATCACTTTTTCTGATTTGGTCTTCGAATAATCTCAATCTACTATTAATGTAAAAACTCGTGTTTCTTCGTTGTAACACGTTGTATTCTACTTACTTCGCTTTACACGGACCGAATAAAAAAGCTCAATCTAGAAGTGCAATTAGATGAATAAACCGAGGCACATGTTTCTTTAAAAAGTGTTTGGGACTTTTGTTATTCAGCATGTAGTACAACACAGAGTTTCTCAAAAAGCCAGAAACCATTTCGCAGTTTGGCGACTTAGGATGCAGAAACTTTACGCCTCTGAAGTGGGCAAGGGTTGAAAGCCTAGCAACTAAACTTATGAGATAGAAATTAATCTTCTGATCTCTGAGGTCTTTGATAGAACATTCCCTAAAGGGCAACAAAACTGTATCGCCGCTGTTTCAAGATAACCTTTTATGGGCTCAGCTTCATGGAAATTCTTACTTCGGTCATTTAAGGGCCTTCTATGTGGATCATCTTTCTCACAACGGACGTTTTAGTAGGACTGTCAATAAGGACCTTATGCC